AGCTGGAACTACAGGTGCACGCTACCACGCCCAGCTAATTTTTGATTTTATTGTAGAGATGAGGTCTCACCAAGTTGCCCAGGCAGGTCTCGAACCCGTGGGCTCAGGCAATCCACTCACCTCAACCTCCCAAAGTGCTGGGATTACAGGCAGAGCCACCAAGCCCGGCTCAATTCTGTGTCTTAAAAAAGCAAACAACAAACAAAAACCCTTAATGGTAAAGCACAAGCCTTAATGACAAAGTTATAAAACCATAAAGATAAAAGAAATAGACATCTAAGCTATCTGACCAAAGGAAGTACTCAGGATTTCTTTTTTAAATAAGAAATGAGAAAACAAACTTATTGACTAGAACAGAATAATATAGTTCATTGAACATAAGCATTAATGAGGAAAATAGGGGCGTTTGCACAACACCAGATTTTTAATTTCCCTCCTCTGTATTCATTTGATGTTGATCAAAATATACCATTGACTATTTGGTTTGGAAAGAATATGCATGATGCTTTTGCACTATATTCCCTTATGTTTGGGAATAAGTCAAACAACAGAAAACTACGGTAGTTTAGGTTGTGGCCGAATTAAATCGTTAGGTCATGGCTTTCTGTTAGGAAAGGATTGTAGTCTTCGGGAACATCGTTAACAGGGATGAGTAGCAAGTTTCATTTTCTGCAGACACTGCTTGGAGCACCCTGGCAAGCAGAGCTCTGACTAGCTCTGACTCTCTTTTTCAGTTGTGTGACCTTGTCTATATGAATGGGTTCTCTGATGTATGGTGGAGGCGCTTAAGACCTAATGTATCCCCTAACCATCCTGCCATCCACCTTCGAATAAACGTCACCCTTTTGGTGTCTTGTCTGCCTTCCTCGGGTTTCACTCTGGAGCGTGTCAGAGTCTCCTCCCTGCTGCTTTATAGCAGGTGGACCAAGTCTGAGCCAGAGAACTGTGAGGCAGCAGCCACAGCCTGTGGCTATACAGATGTTTCTAGGTGAAATAATCCTGACTTGTTTTCTTATTGAAAGCAGAGGATAAAACGTATTCATTGGTTTTTGCCTTGCAAGTCACTTTTTTTTATGCTGTTGGCGACAGACTGGGTAACTCAGCCCATGGGTTCTTTCCAGACCCGTTGGGATCTGAGGAAGTGAGTTTGTTGGTTGGAATGTTATGTTGAGGCAGAGATTACCTTTATATTCTGCAGTGGGACAGATTTCCAGGACTTGAAGATATTTTGCGTCTGGAAAGGAAACAGGGAAAAAGCTGGTGATCCTTCTTTTTCTGGTGATGTGGACTGAAGCCCACAGCATTTGCCTCTTCCCGTTTTTCATCATCAGGACTCAGGGTGATCAGAGGAGAACAGTGAAAATGCTCAGCTCAAACTTGCCAAGCAAGACATTTAACTCTAACAATCTATTTTTTTTCTTTTAAAACTAGATGAATTTATGATCCCCCTGGACCCCCGATGGAATATGCAGGCTCTGGACATCCTTAGAAACTCAATGGACTTTGACCCTCAAACGGACCAGCCCGAGCAGCTCTTTACCCTCTTAGAGTCAGTTGCAAACAAGTAGGTGAACCTGCTGCTCTGGTCTCAGTGTGCCTTACTGTCTTCACAGGCTATGCCTTTCCTAAGACTCTGACATATGAAAGTTGTGTGTGTTTAGTTTTGTGAACCAGAGAAGGGATGAAGTGTTAGATATAATTGTCTTTATCATAGGGTAGTCATGTTTCTACTGTTTTCTGTTGGGTTTCCAGTAGCTCTTCTCCTTTCACCTGCTCATTCTGACTTGTCTTTCCTTTGTCATCTTTCTGTCCACATCGCTTCCCATCCTCAAATGTTGTAAACATACATGGCAACTGCATGTTAATTCACACACTCACACATAAATTAACATAAATCTCATATAAGCCTGTCTTCTGTCATTCTTTAATGTCTTGTAGAATATTTAAATTGGGCATCAGTATTGCTAAGTTTCAGATATAATTTTATGAGGCATGGTGGCTCATGCCTGTAAATCTCAGTTCCTTCCAAGTTTGGAGTGGGATCCTGTCCTTATAGAAAGTTGAAAAATTCAGCCAATGTGCTGGTGCACACCTGTATTCCTAGCGCCTCGGGAGGCTGAGGGAGGAGGATCACTTGAACCCAGGGGTTTTAGGTTGTAGTGAGCTGTGATCACACCACTGTACTACAGCCTGGTACACAGAGCCAGACCCTGTCCCCGCAAAAAGTAGTAATAGTTTTATAGTTGAAGTATAACATGTTACAGAAAAGTGCATGAAAAAGTAGCCTTTGATTTTTGATAAATGTTTACAAAGTGAGTCTATAAATGTGGTATGGACTTCAGAGGTTGCCTTGTGAATACTGCTTGTCTGCCTCCATAAATTCTGACACCACAGATAATTCTGTATTGGCTATTGATAATGGTTTATGGTGCAGTGTGTCAGGTCGTGGCACAGCAGCAGAGCAAAACCCCACTCTCTCCATCCTTGTGTCCTCTTCTCCCCCTTAGCCAGCAGCACTTTCACCTCCACCTCTCTAGTCCAGAATTTGCAGAGGCAGCAGAGGGATGGCAGGATGAAGGATATACAGTATGGAGAGGATATGATTGAAAAGCATTATTAACTGATGACTGTTGGTTATGTTTTTGAATCTCATTCCAGGACAATCATATATCTTGACCGGGAAAAAAGGACTTTTACTGAAGCGAATTTGGTTTCTGTTGGTGGCAAAAAGCTAAGAAACAGTGTTTTGAGAATGTCCTTTGAATTCCATAAAGGTAAGAACATTTGCCTTTTGTATTCTTCAGCGAAGCATCTAATTCCATAATGTCGCTGAGGTTGAGAGACATATTCAGCAACTGCTCGTCCTTTTTTATCAGTTGGCCTGATTTTATGTTTGTCCTCTTACTCAATAGTAATGACTAACAGTTACTAAACACTTACTCTGGATGGGGTGCTTAACGAAATACTTTTTACATGTCCCTTATCTCACTCGTTGTTGTTGTTTTTTGGGTCAGAGTCTCACTCCCTCGCCCAGGCTGGAGTGCACTGGCTCGCTCACAGCCACCCTAGTGTCGACCCACTGGGCTCAGGCAATCCTTACACCTCAGTCTTCCAAGTAGCCAGAACTACAGGCGCAAACCACCACACCCGGCAAATTTTTGATGTATTGTAGAGACAAGGTCTCACCAAGTTGCCCAGGCTGATCTCAAACCCCTGGGCTCAGGCAGTCCTCTCGCCTTGGCCTCCCAAAGCTCTGGGAATACAGGCTTGAGCCACCAGGCCTGGCATATCTCATTTGTTTTTTTATACCAGACCTATGATGCATGTACTGGTGTTATGAGTGGGGAAAGGAAGGCACAGAGATGTTCAAGGTAACATCTCTAGCAAGTATCAGGGCCACTTGAAAACTAGATTTTTTGGCTCAATATTTACATATTCGTAAGCATTTGTTATAGGAGGGAGCATTTCTTCCATTTTTATTTTTTTATTGGAAAAGATTTCTATGATTGAAACAAAGTTAAATTATGAAAGTATAAAAACTGAAAAAGTCATCCTTGCAGCATCTATTGTTAGTAGTTTCATTTACATCTTCTCATATTTATTTGTGTTAACTATCCATTCAGACAGATATACACTTAGATTTTGTCTTGTACTTAAATAAATACTTGTGTAAAATGTGAATTTTTACTCTAAAATTTGTTTTTCTTTTTTTTTAATTTTAAAATTTTTCCCGGAAGTTTCACATTTTTTGGATATAGTTTGCATTCTTTCATTGTGACATTGATTCCATCAATAACTATACATGCCTCATTTGCCAAGTTTGCTAATATAGGTTGAGCATTCCTAATCTGAAAATTCAAACTCTGAAGTGTTATTGCATGCTGACAAGCTGCCACAAGTGGAAAATTTTATACTTGGCCTCATGTGATGGGTTGTGGTCATAATGCAGTCAAAATTTTGTTTCGTGGAAATGATTATTTAAGATAGTCTGTAAAATTAACTTTAGGCTATGTGTAAAAAGGTATATCACAAATGAGTCTCATATTTAGACTTAGGTTTCTTCCCCAGGATATCTCATTATGTATATGCAGAGATTCCAAAATCTGGGAAAACCTGAAATCTGAAAGACTTCTGATCCCAAGCATGTCAGATAAAAACACTCAGCCTGTAGCAGGCATAGAATTTGCTTTTGCTTCTGACCGTCCATAAATGACCTCTGTACTGGGGATAATGTTAAGTTCCATATTACAGGTTATTTTGAAAATGTTGAAAGATTATTTGAAATCTGATGAAATGTTCTCATTTTATATATGTCAACTCTAAGATCCTGAGAGCTATCACACCCTGCCTCATGAGATTGTGGTCAATCTTGCTGCCTTTTTTGAACTCTGCGATGCACTAATCCTGGTCTGGGTCCAGTCCTCCCAGGGGATAGCATCTGATGCCAGTGTCAAGGAGGTAAGGAACTGTACCTGCTTTTATTTTAAACAACAGGATTTGTCTTGCGTGGTATAAAGATTGTTAGGAATAATACTAACTTCAGCACCATTGTATGTTCAGTACTTGAGAAATTTAACTATTTTAACATTTTAAAATAATATATACACATATTTAAAGTCTTTATGGGGGCGTAATTGACATTATAAACTGCAAATATTTGAAGTGTCTAATATAATACATTTTGACATGTGTGTACCTTTGAAATCATAATCAAGATTTTTGTGATCTATAAATGGAATTATGTAGTAAGTAGAGTCTTTTTTGCCTTTGCTCTTTCAGCACAGTAATCTTGAGATGTGTTCGTGGAGCTTTGTGCATCAGTAGTGCATTCCTTTTTATTGTTGAGTAGTATTCCATTGTATGGTCGACTTCACTTTGTTTATCTGTTCACCCATTGTTGGGTTTTAACAGTTATATTTTATTCACTGAAGTCCTATTAGACATTATTGTCATATGATGGTTAAATGGAGTTTTGAATCCAGGTTATTTTAATAAGTCTACTGAAATAGTGCAGCTGTTCTTAGACTTTTTGGTCTTGGGACCTCTTTGTAATCTTAACAGTTATCATAGATGCCAAAAAGCTTTTGTTTATGTGGCTATGTCTGTCAGTACTTACCTTAGTAGGAACTAAATCTTAGAAACATTTTTTAAAAACTCATGCTTTTGCTTTAAAATGCAGTAGCAAACCTATTTTATATTACTATGAATAACATTCTTAATTAAAAATAGCTATTTTCTAAAATAAAAATTAGTGAGAAGAGCAAACCTGTTTTACATTCCTGTAAGTGTCTTTATGTCTGGCTTCAGAGAAGAAGGCTGGATTTTTGCAGTTTGTTTGGGCTGAGGTTTGTGAGGAAAAACTGCCCTCCCATAATTAGGAGATTGAGGAAGGGAGGAATATTTTAGTAGGCATTTTATATTATTGTGAATATTCTTCCTTGATGACACACCATAAATTCAGCAGTCGTTTTGCAAAAATTATTTGTAGTAGGAAATCTGAAAAAAATAACCACTAAACTTGCCATGTTAAAATCCATTGATGTAGTTTGCACTTTGGATGGACACTTATGCTCGTGTGAGTTTTTAGCTCATATATCGTTAATTTGAAAGATAGTGTTCATTGAGTTGGTACATTTCATCCTTCAATATAAATATATACGAGGTATACTTGTGAAAATCACACAGATCTCATCAGAAAAGCCTTTACTGGGAAGTTGTCAGACTCGCGATTTTCCAAAATTCTGCATTTTGCTTGAAAGCCCGGATTTTATCATTGGCAGCCAGTAGTTGTTTTTCTGGAAGCGACAGGTTCACTTCATTAACTCCCAGTATAATGTTTGCCGAATGCCCAGTCGTAGTTCATCTGCCGGTCTTGCTCTGTGTAAATGCGCTCATGCGAAATAGGTAAATAGCATGCTGTGTCACGAAAAGAGCTTTGATGGACTTCATGGAACCTTTGAAATGAACTACTGATCTAGAGACAGTTTTTCTGGAAAAAGTACATTCTTCAAAGAGCAGTGTTGGAGACGCAGTTGTCTGATTTGCATTAAAAGCTACATTGATGAAAACAGTATGACAGTGTCTAAGGATAGACATCGACCAGTGAGGCCAAAAAGAGAATTCGCACATTGATCCCCCACATATAAAGTCAGGTTTTTTTTTGTTTTTGGGTTTTTTTCCCCCAAATAAGCAAAAGTCATTTAATGGAGAAAAGTAGTCTTTTCAATAAATGGTGACGAAACAATCAGATGTCCATATAGAGTAAAAATGAGTCTTTTTCCCTACCTCATATTATATGTAAGTTACCTCAAAAGAGTGGGACCCAAAAATAAAAAAACTGTCTTGCTTTGTAAGACAGTTGGCAGTTTTTATAAAATGACACCTACATATTACTGTATGGCCCAGTACTTCTGTTTTCTCTGGTAACTGTACTTCAAGAACAAAAAGGAAAGATCTTTGTCTTCTCTGTCATCAATTTCGTGGAAATAGTCCAGTCTAGTCTTAGATCTTTGATGTATGTGTGTTGAGTATTGATTAACACCTACAGTCTGTGTTGTGTCTTTTACTGGGAGATGTTTGTGAGCGGTCTTGGTTTACTTTGTTTTTCTTTTTTGTTTCTTGTTTGTGTGTGTGTGTGTGTGTGTGTGTTCCCTTGTGCCGCCTTGTCTAAGATACTTTGTTTTTAGATCTTTGGTTCTCTGCAATGGTGTGTGTGTGTGTGTGTGTGTGTGTGTGTGTGTGTTTTCTTGTGGCACCTTATCTAAGATACTTTGCTTTTAGATCTTAGGTTCTCTCCGGTGGCGAGACCGGTTTTGGACTGTGGCTGACATCGTAAAAGTGGACGCCCCCGGTCTGGCCCTGCTGGCCCTCCACTGGCACTGGGTTTTAAAACATTTGGTCCACCGGATCCCCCGACTCCTGATGAATCATGAAGACAAGTAAGATTTACATTTAGAGTAATAATGTCAATGATTATAGATAGATGATACTGAGGATAAGAAAGTTTAGAGTGGAAACTGTTCTTTCTTTATCTTGGTTTTTTCCTTGGCATGTTAGTGAATGTATGTGAAGTATTCTTTTACTATCCAGAATTTTCCCCTTTCCTTATTTCTCTTCTTCCTTTGTTCTCCTTTAAAGATACTACAAAGAGGTTCAGACTCTCTCAGAACATATTCAGAATTGTCTAGGGAGTCCAGATGGTGGCTTCACTGGTATAAAGAAGTTGCAGAAGTTCCTGGGGCGACCATTTCCTTTTAAGGTACTCCCGACAGCATGTAGTAGATAGAGATTTGACTCCTTCTGAAGTTCTCCTGGAACTTGGGAACTGATAATGAATTTGCAGACCCAGCTCGTTTGCAAAGCTTTCTCTCAAATACAGTTGTCCCTTGGTGTCCATGGGGAGTTGCTTCTAAAATCTAAGATTACCAAAATCTAAGATTCCTTGAGACCCTTATATAAAATGCCATCATGTTTGCATATAACCTATGCACATCCCCCCCATACTTTAAATCACCTGCAGGTCACTTATAGTGCCTAATACAGTACAAATTCTATGTAAGTTTGGTAGTTATCCTATATTGTTGAGGTAATGATGATAAGTCTTTACATGTTCCGTATATATACAGCCATCCATTTTTTACTCCTGAATGTTTTCAGCCTGGGGTTGGTTGAATCCATCTATGTGGAACCCACAGAAAGGGAAGGCCAACTGTATTCCATGAATACTGTTAACTAATTTGTTAAGTGATGTCATTTTGCTTATTTCCAAGACTCTTAAGGCTGGGTAGAGCTTTAACTTTACTACTGTAAAATCTCCCGAGAATAACAGTAAACAAACCCCTTGTCTTCTAGAAGCATTAAGAAACATCTTAAATTTAGTCTAAGACACGTAGTGGCAGCAAAGAAGACCCACATTTGTACTCTGTAGTTCATTCTCCTGTTTTATTGTTTCAGGACAAGCTGGCAGTGGAGTGTTTTTCACAACTGAAGGTCCTTCACAAAGTCCTTGCCATCAGGGAGCAGATGCCTGCCCTTGGGGAGAATGGATGGCAGGAAGACATCAGTCGTCTCCAAGTGGTTGCTTTTGAGTGGACATTAAAGAAAAGACTCCTACAGGCCTGGGGATTGCTCCTCCGAGCTAATATTCTAGAAGATGTCAACCTAAGTAATGCATTATAGCATTTGGCTAGCTGACACATAACTTCTTCCCTGCAGCCAGTACGGTTTCCCTTAGATTTTTTTTGGTGCGGGGATATAAATTCCATTAAGTGTCATATACAGGACTACACTTGACATCCATTTTGAATACCATCATTAGAGTTGTCAGGTATTGATATTCTTTAAAAGGCGAGACTCTCAAAGCTCAGGTTGGGCATCTCAGTTCTGGTTAACTCGGGTTCAGTTTGCAGCTGCGTTGCTATGTGGGGAATCCAGAGTCTGCACTCTTGATCACTGTGCTCAATGCAGTATGTGTCTTTGCCCAGATGAACTGAAGAATCTTGTGCATGCTCAGTGTTCAGAAGTAAAAGCCAAAGGACTTCCACTTGGTTTTCCGGAGAAGAAGCATGGGGAAGCTTCCTCTTTGTTCCAGCCAGACATTACCTCCATAATCCAACTCTCCAGGAGTGTTCAGTTGTGGCCTGCAATGGAGTACTTGGCTCTGCTTTGGCGATACAAAGTGATGGCTGATTTTACAGCACAGGCTTGTCTGAGAAGGTAGCCCATTCTTTCATTGATTTTCCTTGAGAGAATCTTTTTTCTTGATAAATTATTCTGTGTATCCTATATGTGAAAACAAAACCCAGGCTTGTCTTCAGCGGGGGATGGTTGCTGAAGCAGAAGGAGGTCATTTGAAACTCTGGAAAGCCAAAACTTACTGAGGATTCTTGGCCAGTTTGACTCCACCTTAAAAGTCACTAGGTGTTTTAGCAGTGGAATTGCTCATTGTAAAATAAACACACAGGACAACCGCCTTCTTTCTGGTCCCCTCCCATTGTGGGAACTTTTCTGTCCTCTCAATAAATCCTGCCTTCTCAAAAACAAAACACAAAACAAAACAAAAAAATACACTTTCTGTTCTGCATTGCGCCTTGCCTTTGTAGCAGTTCATTGATACACCGTACCGTACTCCCTCCCTCTTTGTTTTGGAATAGGTCTAGCAAAAATCAACAATCCCAGATAGATGAGGAGATACGTCATCACATTGCATTTTGTCTCAAGCACACACCAGTTGCTCCTCAAGAGCTTCGGGGCTTGTGGTCCTTGCTGCACCTTCAGAAGGTAAAAACCAGAATCAAAAAGAGAAGCCCTCCTTACACCATGAGCTGATTAGATTATCTGTGACAGCTTGGCTGCAGAGCATTCTATTTTTAAATAGAGGTCAGGTCTCACTATGTTGCCCAGGCTTGTCTTGAACTCCTGGGCTCAGGCGATCCTCCTACCTCGGCCTACTAAGGCGTTGGGATTATAGACGTGAGCCGCTGTGCCTGGCAAGACATTTCCTTTTTCCTTGGCTTTCCTTCCCCCTCCCCCACTCCCCTGTGCATCCCTCCTTCCCCTTCATCTCTGTTGCCCAGGCTGGAGTGCAGTGGCATACCACAGCCACTGCAGCCTCAACCTGCTGGACTCAGGCGATCCTTCCGCCTCAACCTTCTGGTGGCTGGGATTACAGGCATGCACCACCACACCCAGCTAATTTTTTGATTTATTGTATAGATGCGATCTTGCCAAGTTGCCCAGGCTGGTCTCAAAACCCCAGGCTCAGGCAATCTGCTTGCCTCCGTCTCCCAAAGTACTGGAATTACAGGCGTGAGCCACTGGGCCCAGCCAAGAACATTTTTTTAATTCCCAAAATTCCATGTTGCAAACCCCATTTTTGTTTGAGTTACCTTTAAAAGGAGAGAATTTTGAATGTTCTTTTGCAGTAACTATGAGGGTACATTATGACTCTTATCACAGGAATGTTCACTTGGTTTCTGGTTAGGGGAGATGGAATCATTTGCTTTTTAAAATTTCTCGTTGCTCAGTAATGTATTTCAAGAGTATTTTTACTCTTCCCCTTGAATAGTGAATATGAATGCTGATAAAGTCTAGTTAATAGAATCTCAGTAGTACCACCTTAGCAATTTTAATAATGTCTTATCTCTTGTACTGATGTTATAATTGTGTGAATTGTATTACTTACACTTTCTAATGCAGCCTCATAAAAGTAGATCTCATAGTTTTAAAAAATTGTCAAGATGTTCTGTGCCTTGACGAAGATGATTGGGGTGGCAGAGAATCTGGAAAATTAGGATTAAGATCTTTAAACCCATGTTAGCTTAGATGAGACTTGGAAGAAAGAGACCTGCTAACTTAATTTATGGAGTCTTTCTCAAGTATTCTCTTATTTAATTATTATTTTATCTCTAGGTGTCTACTGATGAAATGCTGTCTCTGTGGTCCGAGTTACTTAATTCCATGTTTATGTCTTTCTGGAGCAGTACTGTGACCACAAATCCAGAGTACTGGCTCATGTGGAGCCCTCTGCCTGGCATACAGCAGAGGGAGGTGCCCAAGTCCCTTTTGGACTCCACATTGAAGGTTTGTTGGCCTAAAATCATAAAAAATGTTGATAGTGGGAATATAGTTTCTCGGTGGAGCTAGCTGTAAACAGTTATTCCTAGCATGGAGTAGTGACTAAACAGGTGATTGGAATACTTTATTTTCTATAGGATCTTAGTAAGTGCGTTGTTAATAAAAGTGTCCCATCTTAAATGATTTGTGAAATTCTGTGATAAGGAAAAAAAAGTTTTATGTGTGGATATATAATATAGAATTCATTACAAATAATCACTTTTTTGCTCTGCATCCTTCTGTTTACATAATTTTTATATTAAATACTTATGCAAACAAAAATGAGCACACATATATGTCATGGAAATGTATACATACCATGCCAAGTTATTTTTTAAGTCATTCTATTTTACTGCTATGCCAAGCTTTCTTCTAATCACTTTTTATTATAAAGTGTTGAGGTTTCTTGCCTTTTACCCTGTTTCTCTGCAAGCTGCATTGACTGTCCTTGTGTAAATATTTATCTGTCTGATTATTTCTATGAGTAAGGTATTAGAAGTAAATCCTTGATCAGAGTTAAAACAAATTATCGCTATTACCAGACTGGGAGGGTGGTTATTGCTTTTTACTTTTTAACCACGTGAGGCACTCATGAAGAGGGAGGTCCAGAAGCCCTGGATGACCATAGAAAGGTTTATTAGGACCAGAGCATTGTAACCTGTCATTGTGGGAGGATCTGGTTTCCCAAATGCTTACCGCACTGGGGATTGCCAGCACCCTTAATTGTCGCCAGTTGTACAGTTTTAAAAACCTCATTTTAATTTGTACCTCTCTGATTATTTTTAAGCTCTTTTTATATATTAAGATGATATATCTTTTAAGATTATTATTATGTTCTCTTTGTATATTATGGATGTTAAATTCTTTCCCAACATATAATTGGAAGTGTATTTCTAGTTATCTGTTGTCTTTCAAGTTTGATTATTTTCTTATGTCATAGAGATTTGTAATTTTTTTTCTCAAATACAGAATTCCATTTTACTTTCTGGCTTTAGTAGCATGTTTTTAAAAGTCTTTCTTGACTATCCAAAGTGTTAAACTATTTTCCCATATTTCTTCCTAAGTTTTTATCGATGCAAATGTTTCCTATAGATCGAAAAGAAGTGCATAGCACCGTTTTTACTAATTCATTCTTTCCACTCTCATCTGAAATGATACTTTTATTGTATGCATTATTTTCACAAATGTTGATGGATTTATTTGGACTTGATTCTGTTCTGTTGCTCTATCAAAATCGATTTATTTATTGCAGAACATCTCTCAAAGCTTGTGGCCCCCTTAAGAGTTGTGTGGAGCATACAGAGTTGCCAGTCATATGTGTTTGGCCACTTAACCCCTTGCTGTGGGCAGCTATTGCTCTGTCCCAGATTAATGATCAAGGAGCACAGGCCAGCCAGTTTTGTCCCTGGCTCTTACGTTTGTCTTCTCATGCCTTTCCTTGCTTGTGCATGGGCTGTCGTCCTCCTGCAGTGTGCCCTTGTCCCCTGCAAGAGTGGTCTCCTTACATCCTAGGTTTGAGGGTTTTCTCGTGCGTTCCTGGAGCACCCACTGCTCCTCATTTCCTAGAGAATGAAGTCCACCTTCCTTTAAGTCATACCAATACCCAGCCCATTCTGCCTTTCTGGTTTCATGGCTGGCTGATGCTTGCTACCCGTTCCAAGCAACCAGAGTCTTCCTTTTCTTATTCTGTCTTCTCTCTAAGGGGCCCTAATGCTGCTTGTTGAAATTGTTTCAGCTAGTTTTTAGAAGTCACTTGACTCTTCTCTTGTCCTTCAGGGCCCTGGCAGTCTCAGTAGACCCATGTTCTCTATGTGCTGCTTTGAAGTCTTGACCAGCAGCTGCAGGGCAAGTCCCTGGGATGTGAGTGGCCTCCCGCTCCTGTCTTCCTCCCATGTCACCCTGGGAGAGTGGGCTGAGAGAGCCCTGCAGCTTCAGGACATCACCTCGGTGCTGTGGACCAACATGGCTGTCCCTTCTGTAGCAGAGTTCAGGTATTTTCTCCCCCGGGAGTGGACCGTGGAGCTCCTGTCTTGTCTGCAGAGTGTACAGCAGGGATCCAGTCAGAACTTGCTTTTGTAGTGGCCAGTTCTGGTGGGAGAAGGCAGAGGTGTTTTCTGTCTGGACCAGCGTGTTTCCAGGCCACCACGAAGCTGGTCGGTTCCTCTGACAGTGTAGAGCATATCGTGATCGAGAGGCTGATGCTTAGTAAACCTTAGGAGATGATGTGAGAACAGAAGTTCACTTCATGTGTTGACAGTGATTCTGCGGTGGCCATTTCTTGACAGTGATAGTGTATTGGAAGGAATGTTGTTTGATACAGAGTGAGCCCTTGAGTGCTTCCTTGTCGTCCCCACAGACGCACAGACGCCCGGCTCCAGGGGCTGGTGCTGTGCCGGCACCTGGCAGGCCTAGCAGAGCTGCTCCCCGAGCCCCGACGACAGGAGTACATGCAGAACTGTGAGCAGCTGCTGCTTGGGAACAGCCAGGCCTTCCAGCACGTGGGCCAGACTCTTGGAGACATGCTCAGCCAGGAAGTGCTGCCCAAGGAACTGCTCTGCCTCTTGCTTACCTCCCTGCGCCTCTTTTTTGGGGAAGTAGAAACTAAGAGGAACCTGCCTGAGCTGGCCCGGCAGGGGAGCCTCTGGGTGAGCCTGGGCTTGCTCCAGATTCAGACGTGGCTTCCCCAGACGCGCTTTGACCCTGCAGTGAAGAGGGAATATAAGCTCAAGTACGCCAAGGAAGAGGTACCGGAGGCGAGAGTTTGGAGCATGGCTCTTTCCCTGGCTTGCTGAATGTGCTTTGTGTGTTATTCCTTTTACTCCCTTTTGGATGCTCAATCTTCAAAAGGATGGTACTGCATAGGCTGCCTTGTGACTTCCCAGGAGTCTGTTTAGAGAGTCCTCTGACTAGGCCCAGGCTCTGGTAGGGGTCCTCCCTAAGGTGCTGTGTATCTGCCAGTAAGGGCAGTGGGCATTGACAGAAATAGTGGTTTCCCTCACCATCCAGACCATCTGTACGGAACTAAGCTTTAGATGTTTGGGTTTGAATAACTTCTTTAGGTAGATATCGTTTCCCTGTTCACTAGGAATTTTGAACTTCTGGTGTTTGTTATCTAAGACTCAGGAAACAAGTGTATTTAGATAATATATGGTATCCCTTGCTATTTGAACTTCTAATTATTTTCAAGAATCAAATACCTTTATAGCAATACACTGATACTATATTTTGAAGAAGGAAAATTAATCCTAGTTGGGGGTGAAGGCTAAGCTGCTGTAGCAAAGAGACTTAAAAGTTTGTGGTGTGCCTGGCATGATGGCTCAAGCCTGTAATCCCAGCACTTTGGGAGGCCAAGGCGAGTGGATTGCCTGAGTCCAGAGGTTCAAGACCATCCTGGGCAACTTGGTGAGACCTCATCGCTATAATAAATAATAAAACGCTCTACTTGGAAGGCTGAGGCAGAAGGATCGCCTGAGCCCAGTAGGTCAAGGCTGTGGTGGCGATGAGTGTGCTGCTGCATTCTAGCCTGGGTGGCAGAGTGAGACTCCCACTCTTAAGGAAAAAAAAATGTTAGTGGTATAAATAGCATCATTCTTTGTCACCTACCTAAACGGCTCGGATGTGAGTTAATAGGCAGAGGCCCGGTTCCTTCCCTGTTATTGCTCTGCCCACCCCCAGGTGTTGTCCTCATGTGCATCACTGTAGGTGGAACACAGGCCAGGTTCTGTCTTTTCTATCAGTTACACCAACTGCAGTGCGAATGGAAGACACGAAATCTGTCATCCCAGCTACAGACTGGAAGAGACCTGGAAGATGAAGTCAATGTCAGTTATTCTCATCCTCACATCAGGTAATGCAGCAGAGTGATGATTTATGTTGGCTGTTATTGATGCTTTTTGAAGAAGACATTATGAAGTTGACCTTTGCGGTATAATTACAGTGTTACTTAGAGGTGATAATATACACCTGAACTATATTAGCCGTGTGGTCCCAGAGCCTTGGTTTCAATCAGGAAAAATACATGCTCTGAAGGGAGGGGGAGAATATTCAAGGTGTGTAGTCACATGGGGCTAAGATGGTTGAAGCCAAAACTTCATCTCAACTTAGAAGAAGTAGAGTAAGATGCTGTGCACTGTATTTCTCTGCTATTCTAGGCTGTAGATCTGTTACCTTAATAAATACAGTATAGGTTGGGAATGCCTTATCTGAAATGCTTGGGACCAGAAGTATTTTGAGTTTCAGATTTTGGAATCTTTGCATTATGCTAGTTGAGCAGCCCAAATCTGAAAATCTGACATCCAAAATGCTACGATGAGCCTTTCCTTTGAGTATCATGTTGGCACTCAGAAACTTTAGATTTGGGATTTGGGATGCTCAACCTGAGTAGTATAATAGATTCTGAGTTCTGGTCCAATTCCTGACCTTTGACTTTAGGTGTTGGGTAGATCACTTAGTGCCTTTAAACCTCAGTGTCCACGTCAGTGTGAGAAGGATAATTGTAGGTGCTTCCGTGAGTCGTGGTGAGTCTCCAATGAGCTATGTGTCTAAAGCACCAATATGAGTGACACATAGTAAGTGCGCTCTGTAAATGTACATTTTCATCATCGTCAACATTATCATCATATTTTCTCAGCAGCTGGTATTTATTCCGTTTTTCCTAGTTGAGGAATCCACTGCTCTTCTTCTGACAGAATTTGCATGTTGTGCTAATTTGCCTTCAGGTTGCTTCGCCAAAGCATCAGTCATCTGGAGGGTGTAACCTGCAGCCTGTTGAAGAAGCAGGCCTTCAGACCCCCGCTGCCTGCCTACGAGACCCTGCTGCAGGAGATCCACCACTACGTCACCAGCATCGCCAAGGCTCCTGCTGTTCAGGATCTGCTTGAACGGCTCTTGCAGGCCCTCCCCATGGATGGGCCGCGGTCTGCCCAAGTCGCCCAGAGCCTTCTAAAGGAGGAGGCTTCTTGGCAGCAGTCGCACCACCAGTTCAGGAAGCGGCTGGCCGAGGAGTACGCGCTGTACCCAGACACAGTGACCCCGCTGCAGGCGTCCATCTTGCAATTGCAGCATGGCATGAGGCTGGTGGCCGCTGAGGTCCATGTCTCCCTCCACAGCACTGTGGTCTGTGCAGATAGGCTGGGCGCTCTGGCCGTGGCCTTGCTGGCGTTCCCGTCGGTGGGCCCCAGCTTCCCCACCTACTATGCTCATGCAGATGCTCTGTGCTCAGCGAAGTCAGAGGAGGCTCTGCGAGGCCTGGGGAAGCTGGCCCTCAAGCGGCCAGGAGGAAAGGGGCCGGAAGACAAGAGCCCGCAAGCCTGCCCCGCCCGGGAACAGCTGCTACTGAACGCCCTCCTCTACCTGCGCTCCCACGTGATGTGCAAGGGAGAGCTGGACCAGAGGGCCCTGCAGCTCTTCAGACATGTGTGTCAGGTGAGCCTTCACTGGGAGGCGCTGCCTGCAGGGCATTTGCCTGCCCAGGAGATGTGAGTCGGTGTGGCTGGGGCGTGGGCTGTCTATTGTCCGTTCCCTTCCTTTCTTCGTTTAGCTACTAGGTTTTGGGACCTTTGCCCCGTTTTTAAGAGATGAAACACATGAGTGACAAGCAGATATTTTTTCCTAGTTTGTCAGCTATCTTTTGACTTTGTTTATGATGATTTTGCCATGTAATTGTGTCAGCCTATGTTTATATCATTCCTCATTAACAAAAACAGTTTGTTCTCATTCTAGACAAGGAAGAGAATAGATGTCAACAAGAATTTCTAATGATCTTACGATTCAAGCTGTGTAAACTCTGTTACTTGATTGTGCATCCCATTTTAGACTGGTTCTGTATATGTACACATTTATCTGTAGATGTGTATCTATGACACTCTGAATTCTTAAATTTGTCTCAGTGGTTTACCAATTATTTTTAGTAGTAGCACCTTGTGAGAAATACAGATCTTAGCATAGTGACCAAGTGTTTAACAGAAAAAAGAGCTGTTCTTGTCAAAGTTAGTTCTAATCTCCTGCGTGGCCCTTGAGACTGTCCTGAAATTGCTAGAGCTCTATAGAATGTACAACAACAAACGACTCATAAAATTCCTTCTATTTTATAACTTGTTTTTAAAACTTAACATATAGTTACTATTTTCCCATAATTATGTATTTTTCGTCTGCATCATATTCATACTTAGTGAATATCAAGTTTTCTATTGCATGATTGCATGTTTTTGCCATTGGTAATTTGGATAGTAAGTAACTTAGTAACTAATTTCCTATTATTGAACATTTATTTGTAATTAATGTATTATTTTGAAAGTACAGAGAAAAAAACAGTGCCATAGTAAGTAGTTTTATGGCTATGTCTTTGGCTATAAATTATAGAGATCAGAATTGCTGGGACAAAGATGAAACACACTTCTTAGGCTTTTAATCAAATAACCTTCCTGGATGGGGGGGTGCTTATTTCCTCAACTCTTAGCAATGCAGGATGATTTATCATTTTTGCCAAGTAAGGACCTAAATCTTGGAGGCAGTCAGAAATTCAAGACGTGTTTGGTAAGACACAGTCCAGTTTTACCTAACTGGTGCCCTTTGCCCTCCCAGCTCCAGTCTAAGTTTTCCTTTCCTGAAGCCCTGGGCCAGCTCCATTAGGTGCCAGCCAAGGGCATTCTGAATCCCAGCCCCTCATAGCTGACCCTGAGTATATTAGCTCCTGACAGGAAGTACCCATTAGCTGTGCTGTAGCAGACTTCGCTGCACCTTCGGAATTGTAATAACACAGCAACGAGGAACTTAGGAAACCATGGTTTTGTTAACCTTTTGCTCTCTATTCTGGAATCTAGTTTCTGTGGAAGTTGGCCTTCATTTTCGTGAGAAGCCGAGAGGCAGCAAATCTAGGCTTGCTCACAGCGAGTGCCTCAGCAAATGCAGAGCACTTCCTTTTCTTTGTGTGACTTTTTAGGAAGTCATCAATGAGTGGGATGAGCAGGAACGCCTGGCCCAAGAAAAGGCCGAGCAGGAAAGCAGCCTGTACAGGCACAGGAGCAGGAACTCCAGGGTGGCTCTGAGTGAGGAAGAGGAGGAGGAACAGGAATTCAGAAGACAGTTCCCCCTGCATGAAAAGGTAGGGCAGTGGTGGCGGGTTGGTTTTTGGGTGAATTCCCTTGGTGCCAGGCACTTTGCCTCCGAGTGACTTTGGCATCTGTTTAATATCTAATTGCAGACGTAAGCCACTTTCCCAACCATTCACACTCCTTTCCCCCTCATCCTTTTAGTCTGAGTAGTAGTGCCAGATTCTGAGTTTTAAATATTGACTGCCTCTGCTGCTGTTTTCAGGACTTCGCAGATATGCTGGGACAACCAACACTAGAGGAGAACAAAGGAACTTCAGATGGGCGAGAGGAGGAAACAGCCTCAGGTCCAGCTCTCCTCTCCCAGAGTTCCATGCAGGCGGTGATGCTGTTACACCAGCAGCTGTGCCTCAGCTTTGCTCGATCCCTCTGGTACCAGCAGACTTCGCCACCGCACGAGGCAGAGCATTACCTCAGCCTGCTTCTGTCTTGCTACCAGACTGGAGCATCTCTTGTGACATACTTCTACCCCCTGATGGGTATGGTCGTGTACTGTTGCTATGTCCCTTGGGAAATTGAAACAAGTAAATGAAATCACTTCTGGAACAATTAAAATCACAAATTCTGTTTTCGTTAACTCCTTATTGATAAAGCTTTGTTAGCCTAAAGAACTTAAGCTAATTAATTCAAATTAAGCTAAATTAATTCAAAATAATGTATTTAGAGTTCTGCAATAAGATGGATTTTCATTGTTTGGATCTCTTTATGAGAGGGGATTAAGAAAATAAGGATTTGGGTTTGATGTAAATGTCATTGTCCATCCTCCCCCCCCCCCAGCATTATTTCTAAGTTGTCTCTAATAGTGCTTTTCAAAGGAAATAATGTATCCTTGGGAGCAACCTGGGAAGTCAGAAGTATATCTCCCTGAATGTGGTTTGGCAGCAGTTGGTTTGATGCAGTTACCTATATGACCTTGTGAATTATTTCATACAAGTAGAAAAGAGGCTTTACATTTCCTTTCTTCTTACCAAGTACAGCTAAAAAAAAACCTGGGAATTTGGATGCCTCAAATTCAACTCTGCACCCTCTTGTTTACAACTAGACAGTATCTGACTTCCTCTGTGTATTCCAGAAACTTGAGAGCTTTTGGTAGTGACTGCAGTATTAGGATCATGAATTTGTAGGCCAGTGTTGCTTTGGGCAAAATGGCATTGAAATAGCTGTTTTGTTTGTCCCAATAAGTTCATTGTTTCAGACGTCTTTAACATGTTGACAGATGAGCTTACTGAGTGCACTTATTTCACCGTGATGTTTGTTGCTCGCTTCACAGGAGTTGAGCTGAATGACCGACTCTTGGGCAGCCAGCTTTTGGCCTGCGCCCTCTCCCATAACACTCTCTTTGGGGAGGCGACTGAGGACCTGATGCTGAAGCCTGATGGGCCCTATGATTTCTACCAGCACCCCAATGTTCAAGAAGCACGCCAGTGTCAACCTGTGCTGCAGGGTTTCTCAGAGGCTGTCAGTCAGTTGCTGCAGGACTGGCCAGAACATCCAGCGCTTGAGCAGGTAGGGCAGCTGGTGAGGAAGGAATGGATACTCAAGGACCGAATCTGCACTGAGGACGAGACCTTGTGTATCTCGGGGCACTCGCTCCTACGTTGGTACATACAAACAAAGGTTTAAAGAACCACAGTTCAGTGGGACACTCCTCACTAACTGCGGAGTGAACATACCTGTTCTGTGTTGCTGTTGGATAAATGATATTTTAGGATTCTACCAAGTTCATTTGTTAGGGGTTACTGACCACATATTAAAATACTACCATGTTGCTCTGTTGGTTCAAACTCATACTACCAAGGGCTTCATGGTTTTCTTAAATGTATTAGACTAGGCCTTGCTTTTTAAGATGGGCAGTTTTAATTGCTCTGTGGCTTTCAGCCAGTTTTATAACTTACTGCAGAAAGTACTAAGAGTAATTATCTTATTAGGCTTGATCTTATTTCCAGAGTAATGTAGCAGACAAAGTGCTTATCTCAGCCAGAATCCACAGCCCTGGAAGTTTGTACCCATGGTTTTTAGAGGTGCTTTTGAAGTGGGAGACGGGGTGACATTTTGGTCTTGCCTCTTTTCACTACCCTGTGACTTTAGGTCACTGATGTTTGTGCTACGCTGTCCACATCTTTTTTTCTTCAGCTGCTGGTTGTCATGGGCAGAATTCGTGGTTTCCCACTTTCCAGTCCCATCTCAAAGTTCCTGAATGGCCTAGAGATCCTGCTGGCAAAGGCACAGGTAATATAATTCCTTTTCCTTGTTTTGGTTTGTAGTCAGTTGACAAAAGATGTAGCTTGTTTGGGTTTGTTAGTCAATTTACAAAAGATGTAGCTTGTGGCACCTATGTTGTTGGAGGAACAGAAGGTTATAGTTTGGACTGGAGAAAGGGAAGCATCTTTGGTTTTCCTGGCATGGGGGGAGATCGCTGCAAGGGAGGTGGTTGCACCATGGTAAAGTGAGCTGTCTTGCCTGTTTTCGAGAGTGGGATGCAGTGTTTGCTGGTAACGAGAGCCCACTCTTCCAGAACTTCCAGGTGGGCTTCAGTCCACACATTCTCCCCCTCAATCCCCTCACTGCCCCCAGTGTAGCTGGTGCTTCTCCCTTTAACAAGGTAGCCGGTGCCACGTGTCTTCGATCAAGGTCAGATGGCTGACGGCAGGAATTCAGGCTCTAGTCTCCAAGCCCTGTGCTTTTTGCCTGCCTCCCAGCTTGGCTTTGCTGGAGCTCTGTCACATGACCAGAAAGAACTTGACGCTAAATGCGCTATTTATAAATTAATGATGCTGTTGGTAAAGGTTGTTTGAAGGCCTGGTAGTCTTCACTCAGGAAAAGTCCAAGATGTTCTTGAAGGAGGAATGTTTAAGGGATTTAATGATGGGCACGATAAATTTTGTTTCTTTAGGATTGGGAGGAAAATGCAAGCCGAGCTCTCTCTCTGCGAAAACATCTTGATTTGGTCAGCGAGATGATCATTCGGTGGCGTAAACTGGAGCTGAAGTAAGTGACTCTCCTGAACTTATGTCATCAGGACTTTTGGTTTTTTGGTAGTTTGAGCTTCTTCAGGGTTTATGTAGTATGGTAGTTACAGATGTGCTTTTCACTCATTAGTCACAGAGCTTAAAGCAGGGCATTAAAATGACCTTAATTCATACAGGCCAGACAACAGCGTGAATTTTTTTTTTTTTTTTTTTTTTTTGGGGT